CTCAAGGTAGTTTTAGAGGAAAAAAAGCACTTTACATGGGGGGCAGGGGGGAATCAGCAGATATGTTTGCATGTCTGTTTTTTACTATTTATTTGTTTTACTTTGTATATATCAATTCTCAAGACTTGAAAAAAAATATTAACTTTAAGTCCACAATGGAGTTACATGTAAGGACAAAACTAGGCCATCTGTATCCCATCTAAACAGCCAGTCTTTTCTGCAATGTGTAAATGTAAAAACTTATTCAGGGGAGAAACCCAAATGAGCCACTGTCTCATTTGCTACTGTTTCTAATTAATGAAATACCCAGAAACAATTCTTGCTTTTGTTGCACCAGAGTATTTTGATAACTAGGCTAATACACTCAATACTGTACTCAAAGCTGTACAATGGCTTAATTAGTCAGGAAAAGGAGTGGCTGATTCTCATTTCCAGAAGATCGTTAAGATTAAAAAAGGATACACAGCACCACACTTCAGTTTGTATCTCCAACTGCTCAGCTTTTCATGCCTCTTTTACAAAACAGGAGAATCTTCTGTAAAAAAGTTTTTCTGTCAATGCCCAGTACCTAAAAGAATAAAATATCTGCACCAATTTTAACTACCTCTCCCCCAGGATGCATCCAATCTAAGTATGTGTCTACATTCTTTGGAGAAATCCTCTGCTTTAAAAGCCAGATTTAAAGTCCTGTCTCTTCTCCTAATGACTCAACGCAGTCTTTTCACAACCGCCATCTCAACAAGAAAAGAACAAGCTGAGCACACAAGGAATGGTAATTTGAAAAAGAAATAATCAGTACATATGTCATAATAAATAGCTATACGACATGCAATGGCCCTAAGATTATCAGAAGTGTCTCAGATCAAAAAGCTGTAAAGCTGAATTATACAGTCAGACCTCAGGCTCTTAAAACGAAAGTGCTTGTTTGATTATGACTGACAGGCTTACAATCGGGACTTCACATCTCTTATGAAACAATTATTTGGCCACATGCAGTTCATATTATATTAAGCAGGGAAGGAAGTGAAGAGCTTTCAGGTTGGAAACCTAATTATTAATTTCTCGCTATTTTTAAGAATGAAACAAGGCTCTAATTTCTGAAGAAGGAGGCCCTGACAAGGTAGCCTGCAGTCTGTGCCTTCAGTTATCTAAACCCCCCCTCTGGATATAGGAAATAATAGAGAGTGCTTTCTCTCCAAATACAGTCTCTAGGGACTGTTTCCTGCCATTAGTTTTCTTTTAAGTAACCCTATTATTATCAAAAGCAAGATGTTTAAAAAGCAGAAACAACATCTAAGTTCATGGCTCTGCAGTGCTCGGTAGCACAGCAATAAGAGCAGGCCAAGTGCCTGTCTCCCACTGGCATCTGCTGGGATTTGCTGTTTGACTCCCCTTTGCACTTTTGAATCTCTCTCTCCCACCAAATTCCACCACAATATTGCACTGGATCATTTGCTTCAAACACCAGCCCAGCATTTTACAGGCACATTTCCTTCTCTTACAAAGAGAAGTAGGTAGGAAGAACATTTGCTCTTCAGACAATCCCATTTCCTCAAACACGTGCCATGAGCTCCAGTTATGAACACATGAAGGTCTAACCCATAAATGGAAATGACTGCTGTCCTCAGGTGCTCTCTGGAATCTCTGTTTCCATCTAAATATAACCAGAAACCTTCAAACAGTCCTTGACTACCAAAAGACACTGTCTTCTTACAGAGGAGCAAAAAGTAAAGAGGAAACTCTCCAAATATCTTAGAGGATGCTAATCCAAATAGCAACACTAATGGAAACATTGGGAGATTTGACCGTGCCCCATTCCAGCTTTGCTCAAAGCCAGCCTACAACAACACAAATAGTTCTGGGTGTCACACAACTCCTGGAGCAGACAAACATGCACAATTCATCCTCATGCGACACCACTGCCAATGCAGAGCACAAGTAAACTAACCCCAAAATATTCCCTAACTGTTGATAGTTATTAACGACACTATGCACCTAAACAAGCCTTGGTGCTATCCTGGGGACAGCGATGGATGCTTGTCACTCAGCAGCTTGAGAAAGAACAGGACCTTGATCCCACTTCCAGACCATCTGCCAGCCCCCAGAACTGTGCCAGAGCCAGATTCCTCAAAACCCCTCTGAAAAATGATGGCAATGCATAAACTGGATGGTGGGTGATGCAATATCAACCATGTTTCTTGGGCTCCACAAAGAAATTCCAACTCTGATACCACCTGCAAGCTAGAAGATAGGTTTCCACTGTCCAAGTGGAGAAAAGTAATCTTTGCACTTTCAAAGTCCATATGGAAGACTGAAACAGGCACAATAGTCTAGTGGCTACAGGCAGTAGGGAATAATAATCTGATCCTAGAGTTCAGAACCACCTTACCAGCCTCACTAAAGCTCCGCTAACAAATACTGAGGTTATCAACATGTTTGTAGCAAGACCCTGCCCTCTGCATAGGGATATCATGCCTTCCTCATACCCATTACAGCTATTCCTGAAGAGAGGAGCTCTTGAATCTCTCCCTGAAGGCTGAGAGTTCAAAATTTACCAACAGTAATGATTCACGTGGTAAAAAAAAACCAAACCCACAACCAAAAAGAAAACAAACTCCAAAAAAACCAAACCAACCCCATGAGCATTACTGCTCAAACTCGAGAGCAATGCAAGGACTCTTTTATTTTGCTGTCGGTTTCAAGGCTGTGTTGCCGTCAGTCGAAGTAATCACAGTGTGGGTAATCACAGGGCATGAAACGAACCACCGACAAAGAGAAATGAGCGCAGCACATCTCCACAAGGAGACTTGCTACCCCTATAAAACATATTAAGAGCGATGTGGATTAAACAAACTCGTTTGCAGAAAGCAGCTGCATTATCCCATAAAAACAGATCCTATGGCTTTACTAAAAAGAGAGACACAGACCATTTGCCTGCTGATCTGACAAGCAAAATCCTCTTCCGATCTCATGGATATTTATTAATCTGGTTCTGAGGGTTCACAAGTTGTCACAGCTTAGCAAGTGCACATCTGCTGACCACACGTACTCACTCAGTCTAGAGGAAAGGCACACGGAATAGGTTTGAAGCAATGCATTCTAATGTCATTTCTGCAATAGGATCCAAGGTTGCAAGTAGGGAGGGACTATAGATCAGCTCAGGCTGGATATCAAGAAGCTGCAACGATGTGGAACTCTGAAACCGGGTTGACAGAATCCACATTCCAGATCCCATGTGACAGAGACACTCTGGTGTTTCCCAGTAGCTGTAAGCTTTTCTCTGAAGAGACTCCCTTGCAGCGTCTGCAGGCTACACAGGGAACGGCTACGTGAGCGAAAAAAGTCACTGCCCTTAGCTTTCCTTCACAGTTCTTCCCAGAAATGCCCGGGCCTCACTTTGCGCACCTGGTTCCAACCTCTTGTCCAAACGGGCCACATCAGCACAAACCGCTCATTTCCACCTTCTGCTCCAGCCAGGCGCACCCAGGCGGCTGGGCGGGGGTGCGCTGCGCTCACAGGAACAGCTCCACCTGCGGATCAGATGGAGCAGCTCCCTCCGGCAGCGGAGCAATAACAAGCATCTGGGAGCACTAAGATCAGCACAGCTGGATCCAAACACCGACATCAGCGCACAGCCCATTACACAGCACAGCCCCTCTCCCAGATGCGTGCCTCCCCAGACAGGGCTTTTCCACAGGGACCAAAATATCCTCACTGACAAGAAAGATGAAGATGCCTTTTCTCCTCAGCACACATGCTTCGCACAGCTTCGTGAACACACAGATCAAAAAGTGAAAGGGTTACCAAATTACTTTTTAAGGACTCGTTTAAAGAAAACGGTAGTAATTTGACAACCAATTGTGCTTTCTGTGGATCTCATTTACGCTTTCCAAACTCGAGAGATTGGCAATACTGTCAACACCAGTAGCTAATTACAGTTTTCAAGAATAAGGAAGAGAAAGAACTGACATTTAACACAGTAAATTCTGAACCAGAGATGAAGAACAACTGCACAGTATTTTTATACTGTATATCAAGAGCCGCTGCAGCCTGACACATGGCCAGGTTGTGCAGCGGCACGGAGTTTAATATTACCTTCAGTGAAGACCTCCAAACATGAAAATTCCTAAATCACCGACACACATCAGTATTCTGACCTTATAATCCAGGCTGGGCTCTCAGCTCCGCTCCGGGAGCACCATTTCCCTCCCTCCCACCGGGAGCCCGCAGCTATTTGCGGCAAACGCAGCAGGAACTTTATCAGCACGTGAAGCCCGTGTTTACCTCGGGCCATCTCCAGAGGCACTGCCTGCCCGTCAAAAAGCAGCACCTGAACTGCCAGGCTCACCCATTTCCACCGTTAGGAACGATGCTGATGTCGCACTTGGCGATCCTGGAGGTCTTTTCCAACCTTAACGCCCCGCTGATTCCAATACCCAGGGGCTGGCCGGGACGGTGTGAATTGTAAAGCGATGGGATGGGCGGGATGAGCAGCCCAGCGCCATCGCCCCACCGAAATTCGGGTTTGGGGCTTTAAACGCCTTGTGTCCCTGGGACAGCAGTCAGCGCGCACACACACACACACACACATACACACAGAAACACACACGCAGACCGGGAACACGAACGCGCTCGCAGCCGAGCAGCGGCGCCTTCCCCGCAGCGCACACACCGCACCGCGGGCACCGCCGGGCCAGGGCCCGCCTCGCAACCCCCGCGGCATCCCCGGGGGGGTGGGGCACCGAGCACACCTGGGGGGGGATGTCGGAGCCGGGAAAGGGGTCCCCGTGAATATTCCCCCCTCCCTCCCCCCCCAAAAAACCCCGCCTGGTCCATCCCCGCCCGTGGCTTCTCCCCCCCCCCCCCCACCCCGCCCCCCCGGGGGGGGGGGGGGGGGGGGGGGCGCGCGCCGCGACCGTTGGGAAGGGCGCGCGCCCCGGGTTGTGCTCGCGCGCCCGTGTGTGTGTGCACGGGGGGGGTCCGCGCCCCGCGCCCCTCACCTGGAGACGCAGTTCTCCAGCACGGAGCTCTTGCCGGCGCTCTGCCCGCCCACCACCGCGATCTGCGGCAGGTCAAGCAGGCAGTTCTGGCCCAGCGCCGCGAAGGCGTCCTGCAGCCGGTTGACGAGCGGGATGAGCCCCTCCATCCCGCCGCCGCCGCCGCCGCCTCCCCCAGCTGCCGCCGCTGACAGGTAACGAGCGGCACGCTGCGCATGCGCCCCTCCCTCCGGGCCTGTGGGCGGGGCCTCCGCGGGGAGGCCACGCCCTCTCCCGGTGCGGGTCCCGCTGCTGTCCCAAAATAGGTCCTTTTCCCCCGGTGTTCACGAGGCTGATCCACGCACAGAGTCGAGGTGTGTCATTTATTTACAGTGACAAATCCAAAAAGCCGTTCACGACACCTACCAAAAGTTTTCACATTTTAGCAAACAACGGCATTAGTGTTCATCGGATACAAGCTGCCTGGTTCTCTTGTTAACTAGTACTCTATCTTCTATGGGTTTAAGATTCGTTTCTCATGCTAATTAGTCCACATGCTCCGTCTTTCTCTTCTTCTGAGCTGGTAGGTTTCCTGGATTGATGGTCTGCCCCTGCCAGAATTACCTGTTACCCAGTCAGAGATGATTTCAGCACAGTTGCTGAGTTGTCTTTATTAGTTTCTTCCTTGTCTTGGTGGTTCTGCCAAATGTCCTTGTAACCCATAAATTCTAAATTCTTTGTGTCCACTATCAGCAGTACATCCTTCTGCCCAAGCTTTGGTAACCTCCCCCTAGGTCTGAGATCACTGAAATATGTCGAGCCCTAAACCCTAACAAGGCAATTCTACTGACACGTAATTTATCTTTCTAATATCAGGACATCACTTAGAGCTTGCTATTTGTTTCACGGATTAAATCTCCTTTCTTGCTGATTAGGCTTGAAAGTATACGGAGATTAAACATCAAAGAACATCTTTTCTTAAGAGAATTATTATGTGTTCCACATATTGCAACACCACCAAGAAGGGCTGAGCCATGAGAGCCCGAGGTGGTGGGGGGGTCCTCTCTGCTCTTACTGTGGGGTCACCAGCAGAGCCTCCCACCGGTCACTGGCCCAGGACAGCTGCTCACAGGGAGCATCCATGGGGTCCTCCTGGCATTCTGGAGCCCCCACTGACAACTCAGGTGGCTGGGTGGGCTCATCCCAGCTTTAGATACCAGCACTTTAAGTACACCCAGCTTTAGATATTTATCTAAAAGGGGGAGGGACAAGGAGATGGAGCCAGGCTCTGCTCTGTGGTGCCAACCACTAGCATGAGAGGCAACAGGCAGAAACCGATGCACAGGAAGCTCCATCTGAATGCAAGGAACAAATTCTTTACCACACACTGGAACAGATGCCTGGAGGGTGTGGAGTCTCTCTCACTGGACATATTCCAGAACCATATGGACACAGTCCTGTGCCATGTGTTCTAGGATGGCCCTTCTTATGCAAGGAGATTGAACCAGATGACCCCTTGTGGTCCCTTCCAACCTGACCCATTCTGTGATTCTATCCCTGCCCAAGGACAAGCCAGCTTTGGTGCTGGGACCCTCAGGCACAAGGAGCACAGTTTGCTCATGTCAGCACATTGACCATGAGACCATCAGGCTGCCCTGAGAGCCCTGATCCCAGCTGGTCACTCCCTCCTGCTGGTGGAAAAGGCTGCAGTGTCCCCTGAGAGCCCCTGAACACAGGACTGTGGCACCCTCCAGCACCCAGGAGAGGTTTCCATGCCCTCTTCCTCAATGACTTTTGTCACCGGACTGGGAAGAGGGCCAAACTGGGAGCCCGTGGAGGAGCCAGGTTCCGCTCGCCACCATGGGACCTGGCAGACAGCTGGCTTCAGCACTTCCCAATCTGCGGAGGGGGAATTTTGGAGCAGTCCCAGGGGCTGAATTCCTCCCGGCTGCTGCCTGCGATGGGAACAGGAGCAGCAGGAACCACGATCCGGCCCTGCAGCACGTGAGTGTCCCTGGCAAACCTCACAGACACCGAGCTGGCAGGTCAGACACATTCACCGGAGCCATGGCAGGGCAGGCCCAAGGAGCTGGGGCTGGCAGGGCTGGCAGCAGGGGGACCGCTCAGGAACGGGCCGGGAAGCAACAACAAGATCCAAGCCGGGTCGTTGCAGTGGGTTCAGTTAAACATGCACACTGAGGCTGAGCTTAGAGCTCAGGCAAACAACAGAGATGAGGTTTATCTGTGATTACTGGCAGCAGTCACAACACGAAAATATCCAAAATGCAGGCTTTGGAGTCCTGCAGCGATAAAAGTTATCCTCTGTATTAAACCAGACACCGGCCTCACTCAGTGTGAAAAGCAAAACAAAAGGGAACTGTGAACATCCCGCAGGCTGATGGAGACTAATGATCTGGAGGATCATCAAAACTTCTTGGCCAGAGCTCCCAATAAGTGTAAAAAATTACTCCCTACAACAGACCAACTTAAAACTCTGGAAAAAAACAAACAGTTTTTAATCGGCACAACGCAGGGACGGCTTCTCTCGCAGGGGCTTTGCCGCTGCAGTTGGATCCCAGCGTCTGGGAAAAGCCTCACCATCGTTTCTGTCTAGATGGGGCCTGGGAGTTATTGACATAATTATGCCAATTAGCAGCATGATTATTTCTTTCCCCACTCCTGAGAAAGCAGGCTATGCCAGGAGGCACTAGAGTAGCTGCCTGGCCTTCCTCCAGTTCACGGGTTTCTACGGAGGCTGGAAGTTGGGAAGAACAGGATCACATTCTGGCCAAATCCGCCTCGTCTGAGCATCAGAGCACTTTGTGCTGCCCCCATGAAATAATTAAGATCCGTAGAAGAGCAGCCTGGCAATAGGATTGCATCTCCACAGGAGACAAATATAGATTGGAAAAGGCACGATGCCTGGGGAGCAGCGCTATGTACACCTTCAAACTGATAACCTGCGGAACTGGCCTTTCCCTTCTAGTCTTTAGATTACATCTTTCTTTGCTTCCATGATTCAATTAAAATAAATTAGGAAAACACCTTAGATTAGGGAAAGTCTGAGTTATTTCCCCAAGTCTGAGAAGTTCCCAAACCAAATTTTTTTTGTCTGGTGAAGCAGAGTTAAAGCTGCCAAATCACCACGCTCACCCCACAACTCCATCACTTACAAAAATCCGCTCTGCCCACAGGGAAAAAAAGCCACAAGCAGCCAAGGATAGATTTCCCACCTTCTGGAAAAAGCACAAACATTTTCATTATACATGTCCCTATTATCAAGAGGGTGCTCATTTTTCCAACAATTCCAAGAGAGCAGTGAAGGAGAGAGGAGGGGCATTTCATTCTGCCACGTGCCAGGCTCAGCAAGCAGAACAAACCTTTTCTGACCACCTCTCCTAGCCCAGGAGTAAGGGTGCCCTGCTCCCCAGGGTGACGTGCCAGCTCCATCAGCGTGCTCTGATGTCAGATGTCACCAGCTCCATCACAGCCTGGCCAGGGGCTCCCAGCCCTCTTGAAGGCCTCCAGTGCGTTTCAGATCAAGCCTACAGACAGCAAGTTTGTCCTGCCATGACTTTCAGAAAAATATATGGCAAAAATAGCCTGGCTTCAGGCTATTCAGGCTAGAGCTGTAGCATTCAAGGCCACAAACTTACCCACAGACACTTCTCCCTAACCAGGCAGCGTGACGTTAAAGCTGAGGACATTTGGATCAGGTCCCCAGGCTGCTTTATAAACACACACCAGTGCAATTCCCTTCATGAAAAATGGGTTATATATAAAATATCAGAGCAAACACTTGCAGATTCCTGCAGTGAAGAGCCAGGCAGGATCCCCTGCCAGGAGAACAGGCAGGACTCTGTGGGGAGCAGAGCACAGAGGAGGCTGCATCCTCTCCCCAGGAAGAACTCAGAAGAGGCGGGCTCCTTCACACTTGCTCTTCTCCCCAGGGACCTTCCTCACCTCCTTCTTGCTTCGATACAAACCCAGAGTCTTGCAGAGCTCTTCAGGCAGCTGATCAGCACAGAGCAGGGGGAGGTGTGGGCAAGGAGCCCGGGCAGGGGGAGCTCCCAGGTTCTCAGCAGCCCCTGGCTCTGCAGTGGAGCTGCACGAAGGTGCCAGCCAGCACTGTGTCTGTGTCATCTGCCAGGAGCACAGCTCAGACCTTGAAGCTGCAAAAGAGAGAATTCAAGCCAGTGGAAGAAAGTCAGAGCGGCCGCAGAGCTGTGATTAGAAGCAGTGGCTGCAGCATTTCTCCCTGTAAAGAGGATGTGCTTTCTGCCTTCCCCACACAGCCTGGGGCACTGCTGACTCACTGATCGTGGGACAGTGACAACCCAATCTCTGTCCCATCTCTCCTCTCTCCTGCCCTGTGACCTCCAGCTGCATTCTTTAGTCGGGTGCATGCAGTTCCAGGGTAGAAAAAGGGCACCGTGCTGCATTGCAGCCTGCAGAGATGTTTCCCGGCTGCTCTGAGCACCCCAGGAAAGAGCTGCACTCCCTCACTGCAGCCTGGCAGCATCTCTGCTTCCTCGGTCACAAAAGCCAGTCAAGCCAAGTGCTTCCCCAAGGGAAGATTTCATGTCCAAAACACTTCCCCTATGCTTCCATCCTCGAGGAGGTGGCTGCTGCAGCCCTTGCTGTGCAGTGATCCTGCCATGCCTGGACAGCAGCAGCATCACCAGGCTCTTCCCAGGTGAAGGGAATCAGCCTCAGCACTTCAACCCTGAAGCTTTCATTACTGCAAAATCTCTCCCAGCTGCTTGACGTACTTTCAGCTGGTGATAGTGTGTCCCCTATCCACCTCCACCCTCTTCCCTAGAGCCCAGCCACTGCCAGTCCTTCTGCAGAGCAGGGAAGGACCTGTGCTGTGACACCTGAGGAGGTTCCACCACCCGGAGTGTCTGTGTGGCACCCCACCTCTGCCTGCCTTGCAGTGTCACTGTCCTGCCAGCTGCCTGCCCCCAGTCACCCCGGGGGCCAAAGAGCCTCCACGGCTGGGCCTGGCCGGCTGCATCCCTCCAGCTGACAGCAGGAATCCCAGGGCTGGCCCATCAGCTCCCTGTGCCTCATTCACTGGAGTGGCAGCAGGACAGGGATGCGATGCTTTGGCAAGGATTGGGACCTGGCCACACCAAACCATCCCCAGCTGGCTACAGCCTCACCCTGAGCCACGGGAGGAGTTATACACAGGTCTCTTTTTTTTTTGTGCTGGGAAATCCAGAAAGGAAAAAGTCAACATCTCGGCGCCAGTGGAGGTTGCTAAGTGACAGCAGAGCTTGTTTCTATCCCGCCACTTACAGCATGCCTACACTGCAAAGGAAGTGAGGGAGGAGTAAGGGATGTAAACATGAGTATATTGCCAAAACACTCAACAGAACACACGGTTGCCAAACATATACGTTTGCTGCACGTTTTGGCTGCCAGCAGAGAAATATTTACTACGTGTCAATTTTCCAGCCTTGGAGGGTTTTACCTGCAGAGGAGGATTTTGTGTATTTGCAGCACTCGTGAATTTGCCAGTTTTCCGGCTGAAATTTTATTTCCAGACCGAAGTTGTAGCTGCAAGGACAGCTGCAACGGGCTGAGATTTCATCCTTACATTGTTTCTAATAGATGGCTTTTGTTTTTCCACCAGGATGTGGCGTTACGCAGCATTTGGGAAGCACAACAGAAAGGCAGGACTGGACAAGGGAGGGATGAAGGCAGCCTTTGTATGAGCTCCTGGGGAAGAAAGGAGATGGTTTTGGTGAAATAAAGGGCACACACACAAACCTATGTCGTTGGAATTATGTTGAGAATTGCAAACTAAGTCAAAAATAGCCTAAATGCAGCACTGCTGCTCCAGTTGAGAAATTTGCCATTGCTAAGCTGGGTGGATAATAGATGTCTTTCAAAGCAGTGCTCATCACAGAGAAGATTTACAAACCAAGTGCATGGGGGCAGGCAGATTGCACCCAGCTCGAGCTCCAGCCTTCTCTCTCCCATTGCCCATGAGCTGCCCCAAACACACTACAGGAGGAGGAGAACACACTCAGGAGCAACAGAGGGCACCTACCCATGGTGGCAGCCTTTATCTGAGGCAGGGAGCAGGCCAGCCCTGCTCTACCATGCCTGGGAACCATCAAAAGCACTTAGTAAAAAAAGCATCTGCTCCCTCTGCAGAGAAGCAGGCCAGCCCAGGGAGAAAGTAGGGCAGAGATTTGTCCCTCTGTGTGAAGGGGAGTAAAGCAAGTGGCATGGGAGAAGGGATCTGAAGAGTGGTTCCCAAAGTAGAACCTGCTAGCAAATTAAAATTAAAATACAGGCACAGAGGGGCCTGTCAGAGGGACATGCTCGCTGTCAGCACAGCTGACATGGGGTCTCCTGGGCACTAACAGCCCCATCTCCTATATCAGTGGAATGGCCACGGTCCCCACTGGTTCAGGGTCCTCACTGGGGCGCAGAGGTGACTGTACCTTTTCCAGGGTGTGGGTGCTTCAGAAATTAGCCCCAGCAAAGCACTGCAGGCCTCAGAGCAGCCCTGAGCACTTTATTCTCACAGCCCACCCACACACACACACACACCAGCAGGCTTGGGGCAGAGCTGGGGCTCTGCAGAGACACCAGGGATGCAGAAAAAGGCAGCATCAGAGGGAAGGCGTTGTGATGGAGGGGAAGGAGATGGTCAGAGGGATGTTTTTCCCCACAGTGGGGAAATAATGGGGACAGACCCAAACCCACAGTCCTGCCAGTCACACAGCACCTTCCTCCCCTCACCAGCTCAACGCTGGCCCTCGGGCTGCACAGCCCTCCTAAGTCCTGGACCCCTTCCTGGGGAGCCACGCTGCAGGAAGCACCTTCCCAGGCCGGTTTCACCCCTCAGGCAGACCCAGGCCAGCACAAGTCCCCAAGGGTGACAGTCCCAGCCACGGGACCAAGGCACGCACACGGGGAGCACTCTCTCGAGCAGCATGTCAGCCCGTCCTGAGGAGCCCCTGTCAGAGGATCCTGACGGCCTGCAGCATGTCTGCCAGCACGTACGAGCTGTCCCAGGGGCGCCCCGGCTCCCGCAGGGCCCCCTCCAGCGCCCGGGCACGCGCCCCCAGCTCCGCGGGGTCCCGCCGGCCCTCGGGGCTGGGCTGGCAGAACAGGATCTCGTTGACCTCCCCTTCGATGCGACGCGTGTAGAGCAGCGGGAAGACATCCCTGAGGGTGGCCAGGACAGACTCCTTCAGCCGGGCGTCACGGCACACCAGGTTGAGCACAAAGATTCCTGCGGCAGGAGGAGAGGGGTGGGAGCTCAGCCCGTGTACACCACCCTGCTCCCCGTAGGAACGCAGCTGAATCGGTGCCACCACGGTGCAAACATCTCCCCCCCAAGCAGCACGAGGAGCAGCAGCATCCCCCCGGTACCCTTGGCCAAGCTCCACGTCCCTGCTGCCACACGGGTCGGGGGTGGCCACGATCTGTTCACGGGTATCGCCTACACCCTCTGCTTCCAACAACCCTTCCTGGCCCCCCGGGATGTCTCAGCCTGCCTGACCCAGCAGCACTGCAGGTCACCTGCTCCACCCTGCTGGCACAACACCCACTGAAACGCTGGGATCCAGGAGCCACCAGGAGAAGCAGATGCCACGCAGCAACGCTGTCTGTGGCCACTATTCTCCAGGATGAGAAACGGTGGCACAGCCCCAACTCCACACAGAGCCAGCCAGCCTGGCCATGGGGACACAGCCAGATCTCCCCTCCTACCTTCTGGCTTGAGGATGGTTTTAACTTTCTGCAGGAAGGGCTTTTCCACAAAGGCTGGGGGTGGGCAGCTCATCCCCACCGTGAGGTCTTTGCTGTCCACATCGAACATGATGGCATCATACTGGGCTGGGGCTGCAGGAGGAAGCACAGAGAGCTGTTATCCCAGGGGACAGAGGTGAACCACACACGATGGGGAGGCAACAAATGGGATGGTCCAGACATCCCCTCTGCCACGTTATGGGTCTCTTCTCTCTCCTGGGGTTTCTCTTTCCAAATGAAACCCACAGCAGCAGCCCTTGGTGCTGAGGGAGGCAGCAAATCTAAGGTCCCCTGCACACTTGGCAAGGACAGACTGTGAGCTGCAGAGACCTGGTGAGGCTGGAGACTGTGACACATGGCAGGAGATAGGAAGCAGGAGGTGAAAACAGCCCAGGACCTCAATCCCCAGCGTGTCACCCACTGGACTTGTTGGGGTACCCAGAATGCTCCCCGAGAAGGTACCTTCAGCCGCCAGCTTGGCCACGTAGTCCAGGCCATCGGAGATGTGCACTTGCATCCGGTCGCCCTGGGAGAAGCCGAACCAGCGCGTGGCCACCTCCAGCATGGAGGGGTCAATCTCCACCACGGCCACACGGGCCTGTGAGAAGTAGTCATGGATGAAGAGGGGCAGGCTGCCACCACCAAGCCCAACCACCAGCACTGCCAGTGAAGCTCCTGCCAATGGAGAACACCCAGTGAGCCACCAGCATGCCCTGCTCCCACTGCTCATCCCACCCGCCCTCCACACACCGCTTCGGGAGGGGAGCATGGGGGCCTGAAAAGCCATTGCCCAAGGAGCTGGGGCGTGGGGACACAGGCGCACCTGCCCCCAGCACAGCCTCTCACTGCCGGCCTTGTCACCTGGGAGGGGGTCGGGGCCCCCCAGCAGGCAGAGCCCTGCGACCATGGCCTTGTGGTGCTCACAGCACAGGTAGCTCTTGTCGATGGCTCCAGGTGGCTCAGCAGGGCTGGGTTTCTTCTTGTCCTTCCTCCGTTTCTTCTGGCCTGAATGACAGGAGACATCAGCTGGTCAGGCAAGGTGGGAGACAGGGGTGGGTTCCGGGGACCAGCCACACCCCCAGCCCTGCCCCACCCACAGTGCAAAACCACTCCCAGAGCTGCTCAGGAACAAGGCAGGCAGGTCCCAGCAGGACTTTTACCTTCCTCCTCAATCTCAGTCTCTGTAACCCCAGAAAAAATCAGCCTTGGCCCCTGCCCCTTCCTGGCCACCCCAGGTACCTGGGAGAGGAGTGGGAGCCAGGAGCCGGGCCTCCGACTGCACCACGTTCCTGTTGCGGAGGAAGATGAGGCGGCGGAAGTAGCAGGTGCCGTCTCCCTTCACATCCTCCACCACATACTCCCCGCTCAGGGGGCTGGTGTCGCGGTGCCGCACCGTCCGCACCCCGATGTCCCCTCCCACGGACAGGAAGGGCACCTGCAGGAACGATAGGGACTGCTGTGAGCAAGGAAAGACCACAAAACCAGAGCCTGGCATTCCCGCTGTCCTGACTACGGCTACGGAGCCAGGATGAAGAGGACACAAGGCAGGAGCAGCCACAGGAGGGCTGAGGACCTGCATTGGCTTCATTCCCCTACATCTGTTGGGGGTGCAGGGAACAAACACCTCACGACTTCTTGCAAGAGCTCAGGTTTGGGGAGTTGGGGAAGGAAGGAGGAGACAGGATGAAGAGAAGTTAAAGGCAGGATTAAGAAGAGGCTGCTCTCAGGGTTTCAGGATGCCCTTCTCCCAGTGCTGGGTTTTTGAGGAGAAGGATTTCACACTGAATCCTGCCTCCAAGCAAAGGCAGACAGCTGGAAGGAAAACTGGGAAGAGCTCCACCTGAAGCCAGTCTCTGCCCACCACTGCAGCCAGCTCACACCTGGCAGCTTGGTCTCCCTCGGAGAAGAGGGATTCATTGCTGGAAAAGAACCAGCCTGGCCCCGGTTTTGGGGAAGCCAATCCAGGGGGTTGGGCAGTGGGGGCTCACCTGCTGCCGGGCAGGGAGGCCCGGCGGGGCCAGCTCCATCACCTTCCCTGACAGCTCTGCCTGGATGCCAGCCATGCCCTCGTAGTGCTGCTCCCTGTGAAGGGCCACGGTGACCAGGCGCCCAAAGCCCGCGCTGGTGGCCAGCTGCCTCCGCCCCTCCTCCGTGCCAAAGAGCCACTCGGTTTCTCTGCCCTGGGGAACTGCAGAAGGGGATGCCATCAGCCCGGGCTGCTCCTGCTCCCAGGGGCAATCACCCCAACCTCCAAGGAGGGAGGCAAGACATCATAAGGAGGTACCACTGTGTGACTAGAGCCAGGAGCTCCCCTGCTTCGAGCAGGCTCATGAAGAAGGCTGGAACAGCCATGCCTCGTTCGAAGGGGTGCCCAAGAGCCTCATGACCTGTCTCCAGGCTGTGCTAAGCCCCAGCTTTGCAGGTGTGCAAGGAGGGAACAGCACTGCTGGCAGAGCCCGACACACCTCTGTGAGGTGCAAGCACAGAGGCCCAAGTGCAGCTCCAGCAGCCCAGCCTTGCAAGTCGGGACACCCACACGGACCAGAGACGCCTTCCCGGCTGCCTCGCTGCACCCCGGCTTCATGCAGCAACGTGCTGTGGTGGCTGTCACCGGCATCAAGGCAGGAATCACCCCCTTGGAGGTGGGACAGGCAGTGTCCCTCTGCTGTGAGATGCAGCCAGCAAGCTCTGTGCCAGTTCTCTGCTTGCACCAGCAGCCAAACACATCCACCACAAAATCAGGACTAAACAAACAACCAGACCCCCCACAGGTGGGTTATTTCCCTCTCCAGCCCCAAACTCAACAGGGCCTGAAGGGCTGGCCATTTGCAGCTCCTGGCCAGAGCACCATCTCACTGCAGGCAGGACAGGCTCTACTCACTGATGAAGATGGCAAAGCGGTTTTCCCGGGAAGGTTTCACCGAGGGGCTGTCGACCACGTGCAGTGTGTAGCGAGGCTTCCCGCTCTCCTTGTCACACAGATCCAGGGAAACCTGTTCCCTGCAGGGGGTTTTGCTCAGCTGGCTGCAGAGCAGGGCATAGTGCTGCCTGTCCTTCACCGCTGCCACCAGCCGCTCCACGCTCTCCACCCGCATCGGCTTGTCCTGCTCCTCGGGGCAGATCTCCAGGATCTGTGGTGCCGAGCCAGGGATCTTCCTGAACTTTGTCATGACATAGACAAAGACCGGTAGGACGAACTGCTGGTTGTCCCCGCTGCCGGCCACCTGATGGACGCGCACCACCCAGCCTTCCTGGGAGAAGTATTGCACCGCTTTCGTCAGCACGTGGGCTTGGGCCAAGGACACGCAGAGGTAGCGCCCTCCCACCTGCAGGACCCGGCTGATCTCAGCAAACATCTGGTCAACTTTGGCCAGAGTGGCCTCCTCCTCATCAGTAAGGAGGGCATCCAGCGTGCCTTTGTCCAGGACCACCTGGAAGTGGGCGTCAGGGAAGTCCATCTGAAGCACGTCCATGAGCAGGTAGCTCATCTTTGGCCTCCTGCTCCCGCTCCGCTCCCGCATCTGGCGGATCACAGCGTCGCTGATGTCGATGTTCACGATGTCCTCGCACATCCCCACATCGTACATCTGCTCGCTCAGCTCCGAGTTCCCACAGCCCACCACGAGAACCTGGGGCAAGGCACAGGAGCAGCGGGATGGTGAGAACACCCTGGGAACGCACCCCCAAAGCACCTGATGGGCAAATATCAGCCACAGCTACGAGCCCTGTGTGAAAACCCCACCCACAGCACCTGCGAAACCACTCTCCAGGCCCTAAGACAACATTTCCATACAGAAAAGTCACACGGGCACAGAAGCAATGGATCTGCTGCATCTCTTTTGGGAACGATCTGGGTGTTTTACTCACCAGGGTTCCCCAGACTAGAGCAACCCAGGAGTCTCTCCTCTTGATGTGAAACACTGGGGGCTTCACATCATCTGTGTCAACACACAGTGACACAGAACTCACACACTGAATCACACAGACTCAATTACATTGGAAAAGATATCTGAGATCATCGAGTCCACCATATTAACATCAACATCACCATATTAACTAAACCGTGGCACAAAGTGCCACATCCAGTCTTTCCTTAAACACCTCCTGGGGACTCCACCGCCGCTCTGGGCAGTCCATTCCGATGTCTAAGCACCCTCTGTGTGAAGAAATTCTTCCTAACGTTCAACCCAAACCTCCCCTGGTGCAGCTTGAGACTCTGTCCTCTCGTCCCGTCGCCGCTTGCTTGGGAGAAGAGCCCAACAACCCCACCGACCACAACGTCCTTTCAGGGAGCTGTAGAGCGATAAGATCACCCTTGCACGCCCTCCTCTCCATGCTAAACCATCCTAGAAAGAGCCCCGGGGAGACTGGGCCCGGGCACAAGGCGCCGGGCACGCACAGGGGCTCTCACCTTGTCGCGGGGCCGCACGTACTTGTGCAGGACGGGGCAGAGCTCCGGGAAGGCCCCGTACCACTCGAAGGCTCGCTGCCCGCGCTGGCGGAAGAAGCGGTCCCAGTAGGGCGCGGCCCCGAACTCGGCGGGGCTGCGGGGCAGCAGCTCCATGGCGGGACCCGCTCCTCTCCGCTCCGCCCCACGTGGCCCCGCGCTGACCGCTTCCGGGTCCGCCGCGCGCGCGAGGCCGGCGCACTGGCCCCCCATTGGCTGCCTCTCCCCCGGCCGCTTCCCATTGGCCAGCGGGAGCGCGCGGCGGCCCCGCCCGGCCCCGGCCCCGTTCCCGATCCCAATCCCGGCTCCCGGCCCCCCTTCCCCCCGGTAGCGGCACTCTGCTCAAAATCCCCCGGCAGAAAGGGCGGCAGGGACTGCGCGGGCCTGCGCCGCCCCCCAGGCACAAACGCGCGGCTCCAACAGGCCGGACCCGCCGGGCTCCGCCGCGGCGACAGGAACGGGGCGGAGAGAGGCACCGGTGGGTTCTAAAGGAGCAGCTTTAATGGCAGCCCGCAGCAGAACAGAGCTCTGCCGGGGTTGTGTGGGACATGCACATGCAGGGGGGTTGGACGGGATGATCTCCAGAGGTCCCTCCCAGCCCTAACGATCCTGTGATCTGTGGACACGGGGTGCCCCCAGCCCGGGGCGCTAGCTGGGACCGGAGCCGTGCTCTGTCGGGTTGTTTTGAAGAAAGAAGGCAGAGAGCTCGCTCAGTGCTCTGTATCTGTGTGAGATGGAGTTCTTCACTGACTTGGGCAGCTCAGCGTACCTGCAGGGCACAGAAAACACATCTCAGCAGCAGAAGAGACACTTCAGGATGTGCCCCCTAGTCACCAAGAGCTCCCCCTCTGCTCGCTGCCTCCCTGCTTGGCTCAGCAGGCATCCGCAGTGACACACTGGGAGAGCCAGCAACCTCCATCCTGATCCAGGGGTTCCCTGTAAGGCACCACCTTCAGATCCAGGAGAGGTTTTCTCCCTGATGCCCTTCCTTGCAAGCAAGTTCCTCTTGACACCCTCATCCCAGCTTGCCCTACATAAAGAACTGCAGGTAAGCACCACTCACGTTTGGTTGTAGCCATCAGGCTGAAAGCAGGGATCCCAGCCAAAATCCCGCGGGCCTCTGGGCTCCACGATCAGCCCCTGCCACGAGAAAGCAAAAACGGCCCCTTAAGCTGTGTTTTCACAGCAATTCCGCTGCAGCCACATTTCAAACACAGGTGAGGAGCTGCACACAGCCACAGCCCCCACAGGCTCTGCACCCTGCTGTGCTCCTTCCCAGCACCTCCCCGGGCTGTGACAGAATCAGCAGCCCCAAATTCACACTGCCCTGCCCTGGCAGGGCCTTTACCCCTCCAAATGATGGAGCTAATGACTACACTCGGACACAGCCCTGTCAGAGGGAGATGAGGGGCTGAGGAGACCAAGGTAACACGCAGGGCTCAGCAAGTACCACTGGGGAAAGGGCTGCAGCATCACCACCCTCCCTCTTCCTCAGCTTGTTCCCAACATCACCACCCTCTCTCTTCCTCAGCTTGTTCCCAACACTGAGAAGCCAGTGCTGTCACATATCACATCCCAGCCCTCCTCCCTCAGCATGTTCCCTTCCCCAGGCACACCACCTACGTGGGTCTGCCCCTTGAACAGCCTCACGGGCTCCTCGGGGTTCCCGCTGCTGAAGGCGAAGGTGCAGAGGGCATAGGCAGACTTGTCTTCAAACCCAGCCAGCAGCTTGTACAGGCCTGAGAGAGACGGAGAGGAGGATCCCGGCGTTACTGCCGCTCCCTCAGAGTGCAGCACACCCCCTAGGGACGAACCGAGGGAACATTCCCAGACACCGCATTCCCAGACACCGCGGAGAGGAAGAACTGCAAGAGGTGACAAAGCTCAGGCACAGGGATGCTCCTGGCGGGATCGCTCCTACGACTGAAGCCAGAGCCTCAGACCTCACAGTGGGAGCTGCAGGGCCCTGCTACAATTCTGGGAGAGGAAGCCAAAATGCAGCACCAGAGAGGACTAAGCCCACTCTGAATTAGAGTGATTAATGCTCACGTTAATGGGATTAAGACTCTGAACTGTGGGGTCAAGGCAGTCGCTGCACACCAGGGGAGAGGAGCATTAGTGGAGTGAGGTTTGCACTGAAGCCACGGGGAGCAGCAGCTCTGTCAGCTCACACTGATGACAAACAAGAAGTTCCCACAAGCCCTGCTGCCAGCCTGCAGAGGCAGGAGTCTGGGAATCCAGGGATAAAGCTGCCAGGGAAAACAACATCCCAGGAAGGAGGGCACAGAACAGGCTCGAGGAGAGAATGAGAAGAGACAGAGCTGGACAGGCAGGAAAGGAATCAGCTGTAGGCAGGAAAGGAATCAGCTGTGAAACAGGCAGTGTGGTGGGCAGGCAGGCTGGGCAGGCCCAGCACAGATAGGGATCCACTTCAGGGGGAAAGGAGCGAGTTATAGGCAGAGCAGTAACACCAGGGCAGTACCTTCTGGCTTGAGTTTCTCCAGGAACCATTTTCTGAAGAGGAAGGGAAGAGGAAAGATTAATTTTGCTATTATCTCTCAGAAATACAGGCATCCCTGCCAGCCTGCGCTCCCAGCTCTGGCACACAAAAAGGGGAGCCACTTTTCTCCTACTTACATGTAGGGTCCTGGAAGGCCCCCCAGGGCGTTGAAGCACAAGCAGGTGTCCTCTACTATAACAGGTCCCTGAACCTACAGCAAAAGCCCAAGGGAAGGAAACATCAGCCCTAGAGAAAAGTCACTGTTTCCCAACCTTGCTCTGTCCCCTCCTCCCATTTCCACTTCACTTCAAAGGTTCCAACACACACCAGACAGACACGACTCAACCCCAGCTCTCCCCAGGCAGGCCAGAGTGGCTGAGGAACAGTAGGAAAGGTTTCACATGGAGGAAAACAAGCTGAGCTGAACACCTCCTACCCTCCTGAGGGATGGGAATGGCAGGACAAGGAAAGGGAAAGCCCATGGGCTGGAGGCAAGCCTGCATTTCTCTCGAGTCTCAGCTCTCGATTCTTTTAAGACACCGATCCCGGAGACAGCTCTGGAAGCTCAGGCTGACAGCAAATGATGTGTCCTGGAGCCACAGGGGCTGGACTGAAGGAGCTGCCATGTCCTCCTGCTGCTCCGTAGACACAGGAAACCAGAGGAGCCGCAGCGGGGCTGCCAAAACCGTGTCACCAGTGAGAATTCACCACCACCCGGCCCAAACCGGGGCGATGGGAGTGAGATGAGGCCAGGCCAGGCAAAGCTGGATGTGCCCCTGGCTTCCCTCGGGACCGGTTTGGATGCCCCAATATCCCTCCCCGGGGGTGCCTCCAGGAAAAGGGAGAGAGCAAAGGAGCGACCTGCCGGGCGGCTTCACGGCACTTCTGCACGGAGATCTCGTCTGGCTCCCCCTGGTACTCGGGCACTGCGGATACGGGGGTCGGTGATGAGGAGACGGCCGGGACGGGACGAACAGCCGCGTCCCGCCCGGCCCCGCCAGCAACTCACGGTCAATCTTCTTCGCCACCAGCGTGTAGGGAGAGGAGTCCCCGAGGATCTGCGTGACCTGCAGAGGGAGAAGGGAAACATCAGGGAGGGAGAGGGGGGCGATCCCGCCCGCAGCCCCGGCCCCGCCGCCCGCACCTCCTCCAGCTTCTTGGCGTTGCCGGTCACGAACACCACGCTCCGCCGGGCGGGGGCCGCCATGATGACCCCGCGCGCGGCCGCCGCGCGCGCCCGGCCGCCAATCAGCGCCCTCGGCAGCGCCGCGCCCCTCGGCGCCCAGCCAATGGGAAAGGCGCCTGCCCCGCCGTCCCCGCGCAGCTCAGCCAATGGGAAAGGCGTCCGCCCGCGAGAGGCGGGGACTGCCAGCCCTCCGGGGGCGGGCACGAGGCCGGGCCGGAGGGTCTCGCGAGAGGCGCGCGGAGGGCGGGGCGGGTCGCCATGGCAACCTCGCCCCTCACGGCCCTCACGGCCCGGCCCTCGTTGACAGCGGCGGCCTTTGGCGGCCGCGGCCGGAGCAGCCCGTGCCTGTTCTCCCTGGAGTAGAACCACTCGTTTGCTGGGGGAATCGGGCACGGGGTTGTGCTCCAAGCGCCGCTGCTGTTCATCCCCCTGACCTCTGGCGCGTCTCTGCGCCGGCATCTGGTTTCGTGTGTCGGAGCGATCAGGTTCCGTCGCTGTTGCCTTTGCTGCTGGCGGTGCCTCTCCCAGCCAGAACTGGTCCCTGGGGAAGGTCTGTGCTCAGAACAACCCCAGCACAGAACGACCGCACCCGTCTCTGGCGCCTCCTGGCAGTGCAGCGATGGCTGTGGTTGAGGCCGCTTTCCCTGCCCTGCTCCTCAGGTAACCGCAGGGCCAGCTGGCAGCTGTGGCAAAGCCGCCTGGACTCGGGAGGCAAGAGGTGTCCGCGGGGCGGGTGTGGAGCCCTGGAGGACGGGTCAGTGCAGCCCAGCACTGGCGGGGAGCAGTGCCCTGGGAAGCAGCAGCCAGGTCCTGGGAGCTCTCGTTGTACCCAGGGCCCTCCTCACTGCCAGCACCCCAAAAGCCCTTGCTTTGCACGGGGACTCCACAGGAGGGACTTCTTTCCCCCCGGGCTGCCCAGCTGCCAGAGACAGGGGCTCTCTCCCCCCTGTGTCACATCCCTGCAGCCCAGGGGCTCACCACACGGGTCACACCTGCAAGCCCGGGAGGAGGAATGCAAAGCTCTAGCCAGAAGATGCCATTCCCTGCACAAAAGCAATCATGTGGAAAACAGCAGCTGACGGTCTGTCTTCTGCACGATGAGGGAATGGATAAAACAGACCCCACACTTGGGTGAAGGAGTTGTTTTTGTTGTAGAACCTTCTTCGTAACGTCTCCCAAGTGAAAACCAACCCCCAAGCTTGTAGACACTGCTGGAAAAAACAACCCTTTCTACTCACTGCAGTTCTCCCTGCCACCAGTCCAACGTGGGACAGCACAGGCTGCAATTAAAGGCCACAGTATCAGAGGAGCACAAGGAGGACTGTTTTGTACCACCCTGAGACCAGACATTTCTAACCTAGGGGGAAAAAAAAATCTATAAAAGTTGCTCAGTAAGCTCTGTTACTGAGAAGCTTCTGACCAGGACTGTTG